CGCTCCGCGACGCGGAGGGTCAGAGACAGGAAGAGGGACGGAGAGAGGAACTGTGCTCTCTCGGGGCGCATCACTCAGGAGAACGATTAAAGCCTTTCCGCCACACAAATCATGTTGAGGGCTTTCCTGCTGGACGGGAGGGCGCCCGACAATTTATCTTCCAACGCCTCTTTCACGCTTTCTCCACTTCAGGAAGAATTTGGATTTCTTATCTAAAATGATCAGTTTAATTCAAAGCACACTGATTATGAATGTCACTCTCTGAAAGCTTCTGAGTTTAGGGGAAAATACAGAGAATAAAACATAGGAACTATTGACCAAATGTTAGGGTAACATGCTAGACTTGGGCATGAGGCTCTATAAAATCCCTTCAACTCTCTCCAGTTTCATCTTTTATTAAAGCCATCTCCCACCTCTGTGAGAATGAATGTATGCTGAGTATTCAAGATGAATGCTGCTTAAATTCTATTTATTACTGTAATTATATGTAAATTATGAAACTGACTCTGCCAAGCTTTTAATTACTGGTTTTAATTTTCTGTGTTTCTCTACAGATCCCATTGACCTTTCTTCTGTAGCAGTTGCACTTAATCCATCTCCTACTATGACCAATTTTTCTAAGGAGATTATAAAGCTACTTTGAAGATTATACTTAGAAAGGAATTTTAAGACAATTATTAATGATTAGACACCATTAAAGATGCTATTTTAAAAGCCAAGCTAACACATCACAGCCACACTCCTGACGTTTTTACAAAGACAAATTAATGAGCTGACATTGTAGCACTACAACATAGATAATACAACTGTCAGAGAGACAGAAATATTATTTGGCTATGTTTGCATACTTGAAACACCATCTTTTGCCATTAACTACCAAGATTTCCTTTCAACAGACATGACTGCCCAGAAAAATATAAATTGAAACCATAATGTCACTGTAAATCTTTCAAGGTATGAAAGAAAAACAAGGGAGAAATGTTTGAAAGACTGTTGAGTGTTCGTTGGCAATTTCACATTCAATAAAGCTTTAACATTACTATTTTAAGATACAAAAGTAATCCACCCTTATAGGTCACATAATAAAAAAAAATTGTTTATTTCTTACCTCTGAACTTCTTGGGAGGGTTGGCAAGATCCCCTGCCTCTGGATGTACCACACATCTGTCATCCACTAACCTGGAAGGGAAAGCATGTTTATACTGTTAACATCATCATATTCTCAAAACACTGACTGCACACGGATATCATATAAACATTTACAGGGAGTTTTAGAGCCATTCTTCACTAAGAAACTTCTTAATAATCATGCATTTATCAAAAACTCTGGCTGTAGAGATGTTCATTAAAGCAAGGATTATGAAACTGAAAAATTGGAAGCACTGAGAAGTGTCGGAAACGAAGATAAATCATGACAGAGACAAACCAAGGAATACCGCAGAGCTATTTAAAATTCTACTGAAAGAAAAGCAGAAGACTATGAAATGCTTAAAACATGCTGTGAGAATAAGCATTAACCAATCTACAAGATACCACAATTGCATATGCTCAAAGGCAGGCACATGGATCCATAGTAAACATAAACAGCTCAAAATACAATATTCCCACAACACACAAATGCGCACGCACACACACACACACACACACACATCTCTAGAAATACGCATACAATAAATGGAATACAATGAAATATTGAATGGAATACAACACAATATGAGCTACATCCACCAGTTTGCATCTTCCTTTTCTCCCCACCCCACCTGTGAGTAACAAGGAGTGGGTAAGTTTATGAGATCAGGCACATGGAGTGACAGTGAAGCAGGAGGTGGCAATGAGCATGTAGCCTACACTCACATTCTGCTTACCCACATCCTATCTAGGTGACATCAGGACTTCTTTATTCCTGTAAAACAAAGGTAGGAAGGCCTACATCACAGAATTGTTAGAAAGACGAAATGATTTCTTGTTCTTAAGGTACCTACCGTGATTCTAGCCATATATCCAGTCCTTAAAGAAGGACTTCATTCATTTAAAACAATCAGGAACCTTGTCTGACTTCTTCACCACACTGTACTTCTAAAACAAGGTATGGTATACATAACAGGTGCTCAACAATATTAGTCAAATGAATGAATTACTTTGTATTAGAAAAACATGTTTAATCCCTATTAAAATATCTAAGAAAACTTAAGATCTAGTACAATTCCAGAGAGAGAAACTGAATCTCTAAACTAAGAGTCAGGAGACAGAAATATCAAGTTCAAAAAGAAAAAATCTAGCTACCAAACACTCGCAAACTCATCCCTCCATGGAATAAGAGGTGGAGATAACTGGTAGTTTTTCCAGAGTATCACGAGATGTACATGAATTACTTCAATGGATATGAAATCAATCTGAATGGAGATGCCCGGGGCAATTTCCTTTTTTTTAAAGTATTTCCCGGACTTGCTAGCCCACATCAGCCCCATCACAGAACAAACCTTTGGAACAAGGACGACTTACCAAGTCAGAACAAAACTTTTGGTTCCCAGTTTATCTAACAACCAGAGGCAGACACTTCCTAAGTTACCAGATTGTTTATGGGATTCAATTTCCACAAAACAAAATGCTAACTTGTTCAAGCAGTACCGTTTTTTTCTTTGATTTTTTTTTATTAATATGTATTTCATTCATGCCAGTTTACTAAAATGTGGTTTTTATAAGAATCCAGGCATGCAAGAAATTCCTTTCAAGAGTATTTAGAAGCTGTTTTCTTAGAAACAGGAAGTCACACTGGGTCAAGAGAAAGCAAACCTCAATCTCCACAATGTCCAGCTGCAGTTTGTTTACATTGACTCGGAAAGGCTTCAAACAGTCCTAAGACTATCATATTGTACTTAAATTAAGATGCTATGAAGGAAAGGCCAGCCTTTTTTTTTTTTTTTTTTTTTTTTTTTTTGTGTGTGTGTGTGTGTGTGGAACTGGGGATTGAACTCAGGTCCCTGAGCTTGCCAGGCAAGCACTTATTCCATTGAGCCATCTCCCCAGCCCCAAGGCAGCCTTTCTAATGGGTCATGATATGTTAAGTATTCAAAATACGATAAAAAAAAAAGTCTTGTTTAGAGCATATAAAAAAATATACAGTAAGTGACACCAACATTCTGCTCATTCTCTGTGCCTATCCATTCCATAGAAGTACAGGTTCCCACCGAATGCCACCAGGTCGCACCTGCATGGGCCAGCGATCAAGAGAAATAGGAGCTAAAGCTACAAATCAGATCTCAGAGCACACAGGCAAATATTTGTGTCTATTTGCAATTACTTAGAGCCCAGATAAAACCATAATAATTAGAAATGACTCTGGTTCTAAGAATGTGCCCTATTCCTTCTATACAAACTTCCGTGAAGATCACAAAAGTAATCATTTCATCTTGTAGATTTAAAGAACTGGAACTAATTTTGAAGAGAACAGAAGAAAGCAGGGGTATGAAGAATCAAGAGGTATAAATCAAGAGGTACAATCATCGACGTTGAAAATCAAATGAAATTTTAAGGACAGTTGTTGAGCCAACTTCTAGAATAACTGGAATGGTACTAAAGCACCCAACTGTCTCCTATTGAATATCTATCTCCAGGGCCAGTGGATTTACCCTGTTCCACCCTCAAATATCAGTTAACTTACTACTTCATTGAGTATATATAGGAAAAATGTTTCGCATTTAAGATCTTATAAGGTGAAACTGACAAATAAAATGATATGTATTTATGTACACAACATGATGCTGTGAAATGTGTGTGCACTGTAGAATGATTGAATCAATCTAATGTTACTTTGCCATTACTTTTTATATTAAGAACATTTACACATTTTCAGCAATTTTCAATGGCCAGCCAGATAAGACTTAGATGCCAACATAACTTATCAACTGAAAGAAAAATTTTCAATTGAATGAAAAAGACCAGATTGGGGCCAGTGAGACCACTCAACAGACTAAGTGCCTGCTTAGGCAGAGTGCAGCAGCCGGGCTTCGATCCCTGGCGTGCTATGCCAGCCCCACCCTGGGGCACACTGAGACAGCGATGGAGACCGGGCATGGTGGCACGCGCCTGTAATCCCAGTGCTTGGGAGGCTGAAAACAGAAGAATCACTACAAGTTAGATCTACATAGTAAGACCCTGTAGAACCTGTACTAAACACATAAATTTTTTTTTAATTTCAGCAATTTTCAATTATACAAGATATTATTATTAAGTTTAGTCACTATGTTATAGAGCAGATTGCCAGAATTTATTCATCCTATCCAACAGTGTTTTCTAGCCTTTGACCAACATCACCATATGCATCTGCCTGCCAACCCCTAGCAACTATCATTTGATGTTTCTATAAATTAACTTTCCCAGCTTCCAAATACATAGGAGATTGTGCAGTCACTGGCTTCCTGTGCCTGGATTACTTCACTCAGCATAATGTCCTACAGGCTCCCTCATGTAGTTACAAATGGCAAGACTTTCTTTTTTAATGTTGAATGGTATTCCACTGTGTGTGCATGCACGCGTGTGTATGTGTGCACCACATATTCATCACACATGCATCAATCAATAGACACTTCCTTTTTCTGAATATATGCTGGCTGTTGCAAATATTCTAACAAACATAGCAGTGTCTGTCATATAGACTTCATTTCACATCATATGGTAGTTCTATTTTTAATTCTTTTGAGGAACCTCTATATTTTCCATGATAGCTGTGCTAATTTACATGCCCAACAGGGCAGATAAGAAGAGTTCCTTTTTCCACCCCCTTGCCAATCAATATTTGTTATCTCTTGTGTTTCTGGTAATAGCCATTCTATCAGGAATGAGGTATATCCCATTGTGGTTTTATTTGCATTTCCCTGTTGATTAGTGATTCTGAGCATTTTTTTTTTTCATATGCCTTTCAACCATGTGTATATCTTCCTTTGGAAAATGTCTGTTTGGTCCTTTGTCTACAATCATAATAAACTTCATTTTTTAAAAACTTATCATCTATAAGATAAATTTTCATTTGAATGAAAAAGACCAGGTTGGGGCCAGCAAAATAGCTCAGTGAACTAAGTGCCTGCTTAGGCAAGCACAGTGACCGGGGTTCGATCCCTGGCACCACATGCCTGGTGGTGCCCACCTACAATCCCAGTGCTGGGGAGGCTGAAAACAAGAGGGTCACTACAAGTCCAATCTGTGTAATGAGACCCTGTACCAAATACATAAAAATAAATAAATAAAATAGAAATAAGAAAAACACCAAATTATATGCTATTTACAAGCATCATACCTAGAAGAAAAGGTCAGAAAAAGACCTGTTTAAAAAAAAAAAAAAAAAAAAAAAACAGTAAAAAGAAAGGTATGGCAGCAGTGATAATAGTGCAAAACTAATAGCTTTCAAGAAAAAAAAGCCTTATTTTGGATTAAAAAAAAGCCACTACATAATGAGAAGTATTTCATTACCTAAGAAGATATAAAAATTCAGGATATGTATATAAAAAAAACCTCAAAATATATCAAATAAAATTTACAAAACTGCAGGGAGAAATTAACAAATACATTACCATAGTAGATTTCAACATACTTCTCAACTACTGATAGGGCAAACCGAAAAATATTTAGTAAGACTACCTGCATTGAAAACGAACACATGTATATAAAACACATAATTTCTAATACAAGCTTGTAAACTCAACAACTGGGGAAAATATTCTGAACATATGTAAAAGCTTACACACCAACTACCTTAGCTATTTATGGGTTATATGGTTTTCATATCCCCAATCCATCTATAAAGAAAAGCCTAGGTTTACAGATTTGGGATTTTTCAAATGTTTTTGGTTTTGGTTTACACTGAACTTTAACAAACTACACTACAAAGTCTACACACACCTGTCCTCCACAGGCTTAGTGGCTCCTCTCCGATCCCATCGTGTTTGACCTGCGATCAGCATGCAGAACCAAGCTTTTGCCTGATTGCTCTGCACCTCCAGCTATCTGTCTCCAACAAGCAGTGAGATCCTTTCAAGGCTTTATTTACTCTTTAGATGCTCGCTACCCAACAGTGACCGGCCCCTACTACGGACCCAAAATAGAACCACTGAATGGGAAATTTATACTTTAATCGATTGTAGAAGTGGAAAAAACTAATCACAAGAGACAAAATTGCTAGGTTC